ACTAATTTACATTTTGTAGTATTGAGAGTAAGTCCGTTGTTATCCAGGTGCTCCCCAAACGCCGGCTTATCACCTTGGTTGCAAACTTCCCTTTGAAGCTTCACAACGCTAGCGACAAGCAATAAATCAGACGATACTTTCTGAGGAAGGGCACCCATATAATCTAAAAGGAGAAGAGGTCCCGGTAGTGAACCCCGAGGAATCCCACAGTGACATTCTGTTGCCTGAGAAAAAAGGACGCTTACCCTGACCCTAAAAGTCGATTAGTCATATATGAAGTAAACCAATCTATCAGTGATGAATTGATACCCAGACGTTCAAGCTTATCGATAAGATATGCATGATTGACCCTACCAAAAGCTCTTGAGAAATCAAGATATATGACATCAACCTTCCTCTTGCTATCAAAGATGGTTTTCAATTGATTCACCGTGGTCAACAGGTTGATTATACAGGAGTGATCCTTATTGAGACCGTGTTGTTAGGGTACAAAGAAGTCTGTGGTCTCTTAGACCATTGTATATCTGGGACCCCGTAATTTTTCAGGGTATTGAGAGAAATGCAATCGACAGATAGCTTGAATGTTTATAGTGTAGCAGTGAACAAATCCCAAAAATCAATAGCCCTGTAAGTCTTGGACATTTGATGCAGACCGAATTAGTTTTAATGCACTCACCTATCTGAAGGCACTCGGCCACGCATCCGCACCAGATCACGAGTGGGAACGGTCGAAATGTTTGAAACTACTGTTCTGCCAGAATTTCGGGGTATCACTGTCGTTGTTGGCTGAGACATCAAGACCTAACAACTAGAGAACTTTGCTTTTAGCATTTAGAAGAGGAGCTTCATGACGAAACAGGCCTTTCGGACTGGAGACGAATTTATCGATTAGCTTTATCTGATACCGTACTCTGTCTCCGCTTATCGCCTTTGTGCATTGCTTCCTTGCTCGTTTGAACCGCCTATAAGTGTTGTCGTGACTGGTTCGTTTGTAATTCACCTAACAGTACCTTTAGAGTCTTAACATTAGAAGAGTGCGATGATTTATGACTGTACGCTGCTTGTAATTTTAGAGGACTGTTTGCGGGACAGACTGGTTTTTAGCTCGTAAAAAATCCCATTAAGCGTTCAAGCTATTGTTATTACTATTATTAAATTGAGGATGCACTTCCCAGTCCACGTGCTGTAGATCGTTCTGTAAATCCGGCACATCTCAAACTTCGGAATTCGAATGCCTGTTGTTAGTAGGATGTTTTAGCTTAGGTTTGCTGGTAAGATTGAAGGCTATGATGGCACGATCACTTCTCGACGGAGTCAGGATGGAGAGGTTGTCAACCAGGAATTCTCTGCTTGTAAACGATCACTGTAAGTATGAAGGCGTCTGACTATTTCTTCATTGAGTTGCTCACTTGACATTTTCGAATAATCCCAAATCTTCAATGAGGTTAACTCCGCCTGTAGCTCTTCTAGAGTTACTGCCGGTCCCAAGCCCAGGTAAAGGAGGAGGGTTGGGCATGGGGTTAGCGTCCCCATCCCGTAGAAAGCTAACTCGCTAAAAAAACGCTTACCAGAAAAAAATAATTCAAACCGTTTAAACTCTGCCCTGAGAGTTAGAAGGTCTTCATTTAGAAGAATTATGACGCTTCATGGTGAAAGCCGAGTTCCTTCGGAATTTACGAGGCCAATGTCCCTTCTAACAACCAGAGCAAAAAATTTTGTAGGTACATGGAACGTCCGAACAATGTGGGAAACCGGGAAGACCAGTCAAATAGCAGTGGAAATGAGGAGATACAACTTAGCAGTACTGGGAATCAGCGAAACCCACTGGACCCAAGCTGGACAGAAAAGGCTAGCTACGGGAGAGATGCTGCTATACTCCGGTCACGAGGAGGACAATGCTCCACACACTCAGGGAGTCGCTCTTATGCTGTCCAAAGTAGCACGAAATGCACTTGTAGGATGGGAGTCTCACGGATCCAGAATCATCAAAGCATCATTCAAAACAAAGAAGGAGGGGATCTTAATGAATATTATCCAATGTTATGCACCCACCAATGATAGCAACGACGACATTAAAGATCAGTTCTACGAGCGGCTGCAGTCAATCATTGAGAAATGCCAAGAAAGGACCTAACTATTCTGATGGGAGATCTAAATGCCAAAGTCGGAATAGACAACACCGGATATGAAGATATCATGGGACGACATGGACTGGGACAGAGAAACGAAAATGGAGAAAGATTTGCAAATCTATGTGCATTCAACAAATTGGTCATAGGAGGCACAATATTTCCACACAAGCGTATACACAAGGCTACATGGATCTCACCGGACCACACTACAGAGAACCAAATAGATCATATTTGCATCAACAAAAAATTCCGAAGGACAATGGAAGATGTAAGAACCAGGAGAGGTGCTGACGTAGCTTCAGATCACCACCTAGTTGTAGCCAATTTAAAACTGAAGCTAAAAAAAACTGGACAAGTGGACAAACAGCACTACAAAGGTTCAATACAGCCTTCCTTCGAGATACTGACAAGCTCAATGAATTCAAGATAGCTCTCAACAACAGGTTCCAAGCCTTACAAGATCTACTGAAAGAAGAAGAAACTAGTATGGAGGACAACTGGAAAGGCATCAAGGAAGCATTAACTTCAACGTGTCAAGAGGTTCTGGGCCTAAAGAAACACCATCATAAGGAATGGATCTCTATAGAAACACTGGACAAGATCAAAGAAAGGAAGAACAAGAAGGCAGCAATTAACAACAGCCGAACACGAACGGAGAAAGTCCAAGCACAAGCTGAATACATAGAAGCAAACAAACAAGTGAAGAGGTGCATTAGAGCCGACAAGAAGAAATACGTGGAAGAACTAGCAACGACGGCAGAAAAAGCTGCTAGAGAAGGAAATATGAAACAGCTTTACGATACAACGAAAAAACTAGCAGGGAAATACAGTAAACCAGAGAGGCCGGTCAAAGACAAAGAAGGCAAGCCAATCACCGAAATTCAACAACAGCGTAACAGATGGGTAGAATACTTCGAGGAACTCCTGAATAGGCCGGCTCCAATGAATCCACCGGACATCGAAGCAGCACACATAGATCTTCCTATAGATGTCAACCCACCAACGACGGAAGAAATTAGAATGGCCGTCAGACAAATCAAGAACGGGAAAGCAGCAGGACCCGACAACATACCAGCTGAAGCACTGAAATCAGACATCGAAGCAACCACAAGCATGCTTACCTTCTATTCAAAAAGATTTGGGAGGAGGAACAAGTGCCGATGGACTGGAAAGAAGGACACCTCGTCAAGATTCCAAAGAAAGGAGATCTGAGCAAATGTGAAAACTACAGAGGCATTACACTACTGTCAATACCAGGGAAAGTCTTCAACAGAGTGTTGCTGAACCGGATGAAGGATGCAGTAGACGCCCAACTTCGAGATCAACAAGCTGGATTCCGTAAGGATCGGTCGTGCACAGACCAAATTGCAACACTACGGATCATCGTCGAACAATCAGTTGAGTGGAACTCATCACTATACATCAACTTCATTGATTATGAAAAGGCATTCGACAGTGTAGATAGGAGGACATTATGGAAACTTCTTCGACACTACGGAGTTCCTGAGAAGATTGTCAACATTATCCGGAACTCATACGACGGACTACAGTGCAAAGTAGTGCATGGAGGACAGCTGACAGATGCATTCCAAGTAAGGACTGGAGTCAGACAAGGCTGTTTACTCTCTCCCTTCCTCTTTCTTCTGGTGGTCGACTGGATTATGAAGACCTCGACATCTGAAGGAAAACACGGAATACAATGGACAACTCAGAATCAATTAGACGATTTGGACTTCGCAGACGACCTAGCCCTCCTATCACGTACACACGAACAGATGCAGATGAAGACAGCCAGTGTAGCAGCAGTCTCTGCATCAGTAGGCCTCAGCATACACAAAGGGAAAACCAAGGTCCTCAAATTCAACACTCAGAACAGCAATCAAATCACTCTTGATGGCGAATTTCTGGAAGATGTAGAGTCCTTCACATACCTTGGAAGCATCATCGATGAACAAGGAGGTTCAGATGCAGACGTAAAGGCGAGGATCGGCAAAGCAAGGGTCGCATTCCTACAATTAAAGAACATATGGAACTCAAAACAACTTTCAACCAATATCAAAGTGAGAATCTTCAATACGAACGTCAAGGCAGTTCTACTGTATGGATCTGAAACTTGGAGAACTACAACAACCATCATCAAGAAGGTGCAAGTATTTATAAATAGCTGTCTACGCAAGATACTCAACATCCACTGGCCGGATACCATCAGCAACAGCCTTCTGTGGGAGAGAACAAACCAGCCTCCAGCTGAAGAGGAAATTAGGAAAAGACGATGGAAATGGATAGGACATACACTATGCAAATCATCAAACTGCATCACGAGACAAGCCCTAACTTGGAGTCCTGAAGAGAAGTGGAAAAGAGGAAGGCCAAAGAACACATTATGTCGGGAAATAAAAGCAAATGTGGAGAGGATAAATAACAACTGGAAGGAGCTGGAAAGGATTGCACAGGACAGGGTCGGATGGCGAATGCTGGTGAGCGGCCTATGCTCCTTCACGAGGAGTAACAGGCGTAAGTAAGTAAATAAGTTCAATGAGGTTGAAGAACTGAGCTTCAGTAGAGCTATCACTTCCAATGTACATACGCTCGTAGAAATTGACTTCATGAGGATTGAAGTGTCCTAAATGGGGAAAAGAGTGTATCCGAGATGAATAGAGTGAGATAATCTATCCAGAGTACGTTTGTCGTACTCGGTGTCAGCAATAAGCTTCCTAGACACTTCGAGGTGTTGGACAAACCTACTAAAAATGTATGTAATGCTCGAATTTTGATCAAATAAATGCTAGGCAAGACGTCACTAACCAAGACTTAGTCTTTTATGTTAACTGCTTGAAAAGGTTTAACGACTAGAATTGAACACAAAACATGGTTGCTTGTTTATATGACTTTCTCCGCCTATTTATTTTCGCACGATCTAGAGCGGGGAGTAGAGCGTGGTTGGTGTTGCACGTCGCTTGCGGTAAGGTTTTGGTAGCCGATGATATGTTATTCATGATGTTTTCCAGTTCTGCTATTGATGCTTATGAAACGAACTCTTTATCCCTGATTGTCTATCGTTACACGGTGTTTTATCTCATTGTAGGGTCTAAGAAAATGATAACCATACGGACTGTTTCCTCCAGTCTAATATATAGTGGGAAGAGTTCCCAGTTACCCGTTAGAATCTTCAGTGAATGATGAGGAAAAAACTGGCTGGATAAATGCATCTCGTAAGTACTTTTCTATATGTATTAAAATGATGTTGACAATTCTACTGGACTCGTGTCCGCACACGCCCCTATCTGAAGCTTGTTCCGTAACCTGGGATTTTTTTGATTAACCTTAGGTGGTTGCTTGGTCTTCGCATGCACCAAATGGTTGATGGTCAACTTTCGCGAGATTAGGTAAGGTTTATTAATTTTAATGATGCCGCATAGTTCATATGATAGACATGAGTCGATATAGCTTCACTGATAATTTCTTGAACCATTAACACGTCTTTTCACTTTTCAGATCGCCGTCTGCTGTGATCGTTCTGAGGGACATCAGAGGGCTGCGAAAAAAACATGGTAAGATATCGCTGAGTTCTTTGGCATGCCAAATGATGTTCCGTGTTTCAATTGATCTTGTGATTTTAACCTCTCTACTGACAATCTCACTTACCAAGTTTTTCTATTTCCAGATGAGGACTTGAAAACTGTCGACTCGATCGTCTAAGGTGAGTAAATGAAATGATGTGACACCTCTTGAATGATGCGCGATTACATTCCTCGTCTGATTTTGCAAATACCTGTCAGAACTAAATGTGTTGTGTTTCCATTTTAGGTTAATTCAAAGTCCGGGGACGTCCATTTCCGACGAGGCATCATGTACCTTTGGTTTGTGTGATAAATATGATCAGTCACTTTGGTTTCGTTCTTACTTAGTTACTGTGGGAACAGAATTTTCAACTTTCTAAGTTCTTAATGCTTGCAGAGGTAGTTGGGTGTGTGAACAGAATTGGGTTTAGTTAACTTGAGTAATCGGCGCAATTGACCTGTGTTGTGGGATGGACCAACCAAGACCGTTTATACATACTTCCGGAGAGTAGTCTTCAGCGCAACATACTTGTGACCTATTCGATCTGCCGAGTCGATAGGATGTAGGTGTGTTTGTCTACACAGAGGGTGATGCTTGTTAGTTACCACCTACCCCAGCCTCCAGTTTAATTGCGTACACCCAGTGTTACATTGTTGAGTAACGGGTTTTCGGCCAACATAAATTGGTTGACAAGGTTTCTCCGTAGATGATTGTCGAGTGTGAAAATGCAACTTAGTGTGGTTCGCCGGTTAAGCACAGGTTACCATCAAGCCGCTTCGGTTGTGTAGGATGCCTGGCGACCAAGTTTCGCTACCGAGGCTCCCACTGTTCATCTTATCCCGGTGACCTCAGCTTCTCAATAGTTCCTTGACGTGATCATTGTCTCGGGGTGTGCAAGCGGCGTGGGTCTGTCCAGGTAACAAGAGATGAGCCAAGGATTTTTGTGGACATTGATTGTGTGGAATATGGGGAGCCAGTAGGAGTGTGAGCGTAACTAGAGTCGTGTTAAGGTTCACAATGTACTCCAGTTGATGTTAACTGGAAGCCATTTAGTTAGTCTGTAGCTGGCTGCATCTGAGACTGGTATGCTTCACATCAAATACTTGATTTGAGTATCGGTCCAGAGTTATGCGCTGTTGCGCATGATTGGATTGGCATTCTTCCTTAGGTGTAGTATATGATGTGCCAGTCCAGCCCGTAGCTATGGTGATCCTCCTAAAATTACTTGCTTGCAATCCCGTAAAATATCCCAGGGTGCTTGTTATCCTTGTGGGCTAAGCGTTAGGTAATATGAGATATCAATCTAGAGTTGGACCTTTTCTCAACGAATCGGTAGGTGGCTTGCGATTAGTTTTGTTGAAACAACCGGAAGTCACAATCAATGGATAATACGCAAGATATAGTAGTTAAGATTGATGAGAATATTAGTGTTGAAGATAACTTAGACAAAGAACCAACTAAGGGAAGTAGTAGGTTGTTAGTAACAGTTGAATATGAAACAGTCAAGTCGGCATAAAAGAAATAAGATTATCGTGTGGACATCAGCAGCAGCTAAGCATCAAAAGTAGATAAAATAATTTGGTCATGGCTGTATTCCTCTTGAAAGAAAAGGAGGTTTACCACATCTTCATGCTGTTCGTACAAGCGATCAGGCACTCGACACGAAACCGGGTCCTTGTTGAGGTTGCGGATGTGAACTGGTGAGGTGTCCCATACCCGGATGAAACAGTTGGTCAGTTCTCTTTGGCTTCTAATAGTTAAGTACCTGAGGTCATTCCATGACATGCGATATTTCTGTTTTCTGCGTGATAGGCATGTAGGTTTACCGGATTCGCCGATCTAACTTGGCAAGGATCGCCTTCCATAATTGATAAAAAGCCGTGTCAATCAAAAGTTATCAGTTTATTAGAATACTACCACAGCATTTATCTTGGTCCACATTGATGCTGTTTCATTCGTTGTTCTAATTCCGTCCCTTACCTTTCATAATGAGTTGTACTCCTCACAACATTCTTCCCATTCCTAATTATAAATTCATAATTATTCTTAGTGCCATAATAATGATAATTATTATTATTAACTCAACAATTAAAACAACAATTTCAAAAGTAGTTGAGTTCCATTCCATGTGGCGGGATGGCAGATGCTGGTTCCAAAGGGATAACACAATAGGAAATGTTGTCCATTGAAACATAATAATTTCAGTTTTATAACTGTAGAGCTCGAAGTTGCCGAAAATCACCACTCACTAATACTCTATTCTTGATTATCATGCAGGGATTTTCATACCATATTTGAGTCATGAGTACCACGTACATGATTTGACTTTATTCGTGTTTGACAATCATGATCACGGTTTGAGAATCTTTGGTGAACAAACTCAATTGTTGTTGACCCCGTATGGATTTACTGGTCATTTAAATGACACTGACGTTGTGAAAAAGATTACTATGCTATATAAGCATCTTTCTACTAATGAAAACAGGTTATTGTTCGTGTTATTTAAGTCTGAGTCTCCATTTTTGCATACCAACAATCTACAGTTATCCATTTCTTATTTTTTCCTTTTCTATCCACTCGTGTATAAAACACTGAAAAGCATACTGTTAAGTATGTTATTGCTATTCTTATGAATCACATTGTATATCTTTTTATATGCATATTTATTCGGTCGTACATATTGTACCTTATTCGCATGTGTATGTGCATTTCAGTATGCATTTGTCCGTTCATCTTATTTATTTGATATAAAAGCTGAGTCAAACTTTAATAATGTTCTTTGTTAGCAATGGTCAATATCCATAATACATCCATTTAATAAGTCTGATCGTTTGTTTGCGTCTAACAATATATGTGAAATATACGTATCTAGCTAAATTTCGTTCTTGGTTTTTTTATACCATTCTTGTACCAATCGGTTTGTCAAAATATTGCACTTAAAATTTAATGAGTATATATATATATATATACATATATATATATATATATATATATATATATTTTCAAGTGGGGTGCAATGCGCCACGAATCCTATCAGTTGGTTGAGGAACAGTAAAAATACGTACTTAAAAATAATACAATAAGGGCTATTAGTTTCGAGAACTGACACCTTTTCATTATTAATACTAACTGTCAAGTTAGGCTAGTCTTCATTGCCACGTAGTCATGTTGAATGGAGACTTCGATGATCCATCACATTTACGCGTTGATCGTGATTTCATTAGTAGTGCAGTGGACAAGAACACCAATGGGGACAATCGAATGTACTTAACACAAAATTACAGGACTTGTTAATAAAATCTAACAATCATAAAGTAAATACTTAATTTGCAAAATGTCCACCAATTGTCTCAAAATGGCTCAGACTTCTTTGTTCTTGCATTTTCATACAAATTGCATCCTGTTTCCATTCTTTACTGTTCGATCCTCTTGTCTCTCTGTTGCCAGACCTTCTGTTCACGACTAACATCATCTACTACTTATGTCAATATAAGTAGCACATACTGCAGTAGTAAAATCAATAGTTGAGATCATGAGTCAATTGAAGCTAGACCACCACGGGGAACCTGGAAGCACTGGACGGTCGTTTCATCCTTTCGATAGTAGTGAAGTATTAGTGTATACAAAAGCATTGGGGTTTAGATACATTCCAGCTAGGATTATCTATAACTACTACGATAAGTGTGTTTTAGACACATCAGTTACTGATTATTCAAAATATAAGGTTTCGTAAAACACTAATTTATTGGAAAAAAGAGAAAAATTCGCATTATCTGTGAATGACTGATCATCAGTCAGATAGTACGATTTTAGGATTTTTAAAATTAAGTTCATTATTTCATTTCAATGACTTTCTTAACTTGAGTAGATGTTTCTCTTCCATAACTTTATTTTTGTTTAAAACAACAATAAAAAATGGTAACTTTACATATGACACATATGTTCTATATGGAATATATCTGTACACTATGGTATCATGTTACTATTTCCTTATAAACATACATATATATATTTTTAAATTACTTAGATTCAACAGGAAAGTGTGGTCTTATTAATATATGTTAGAATGAATTTACTATGATGAGGGAAATATTCAGCAATGTTGATCTTTCAAAACTGTATACTTAGAAGTTATATTCATTCTGTGTGTGTTCTGTTTTGGCTAAAGGGCGACGGAGCGTGAGAGAATGGTATTCTGAACCGATGGTCGTTAAACATTGCTCTCGACTGTTATTTCACTTGTCATAATTTCATTGGTTAGCTGGTCATTGTTACTTATTTAATACCTGATTTTAACTCCATAATGGTTGAACGATAATAATGTCAATGAAATATGTATACCACTCAACGTCATAAATATTTTGTCGACTTAACACGTATGAAACAATTGTATGTCGAAATCCGAATACGAGAGCATTCTGAAATATATTCATTAGTGAAGACAGATAGTGAGAGATGTGGATTGAGAAAATAAACGTCCCTACCCTATGAATAATGAGTGAACCTGTCTTCATGTAAAACTGGATAGGGTTTAAATTACCGTTAACCAATTAGAGTATGAATGATATAAACATAAGGCAAGCTAAAGCAAAAGTGGAAATAATCCAGTTGATTAAGTTACATATGAGAAAATACACAGTAAAGTCATAAAATACTTGACGAGGTTAGAATGACATATTTAATGGCCGGATTACCTATGGATGTGATAGAAACCGTTATACTATATAATTTGGATGAAATAATTAACATTTAGACTAGAAAATACATCTGCTCTCTTGTAATCATGGCCCCATATAGCGGGCCCCTATACAATCCATGTATGTTTTTACTTACGCCTGTTACACCCAATGGAGCATAGGCCGCCGACCGGTATTCTCCAACCCACTCTGTCATAGGCCTTCCTTTTCAGTTCTATCCTATTTTTGTTCATTTTCCTCATGTCTGTCTCCATTTCTTTTGTCTTCCTCTTCTCATTTGGCCTTGAGGATTCCAAGTGAGGGCTTAATTGGTGACGCAGTCGGGTGCTTTCCTCAATATATATCCTATCCACTTCAAATTTCTTCCCCTAATTTCCTCCTCAGCTGGAGCCTGATTTGTTCTTTCCCATAGTAGTTTAATGTTGATGGTATCCAGTCAAC